CGCAATAATTTCTCACTTGTCAACATGCAGTTGGAAGCAAAGCTGCAGAGATCTGATCAATGCTCACACAAGTGTGCCCATTACAGAAATTTGGGTGAGGACTTACATGGTGTGGACGGGGCGGGGTTAGTTGATGTGACGGGATTTACTCCACCGCGTCGCTTGTTCATTTCAGCCAACAAGGAGACCGGTCCACTGACACGGATTTCACGCATCGAAGCTAGTTCAGACAGTTCCCCAAGCACCTCCGTCACAGACGGACGCTGACGAGGATCCAACAACAACATTTGACCTGAATGTGACAATAGCAAATGAACGTGGGTGGAAGAAGAAATGGATAATGAACACAAGTTTGACCATCGTCATTGTACACAGAAACCGAACAGGGATGGTGGATATAAACATGTGTAACAATACACGAGAAGTAAAAAAACATACCTTAGTGCTGCATGCAAATGGATAAACTTCAAGAATTACTGTCACGATAAACGGTTTCTTTGTTTCCAGGCTCACCATTATATCTTTGAGGATGGGACTTGCGTAAATCCTTTTTTATTACACATGTGTGTGATGAATAGTAGACGGGCTAAACCCGATAGTCACGAAGACCTGCTTTTCATTGATGGAAACCGGTAACCTAAACCCCGGAACTTGGAGTGACGAACCACATAAGGTCCCGATAGGTTAGGTGTGGTATTGAACCGGACGACCGCAAAGTTGTCTACCACCAAAGTCTCACAGTAAAACACCACGTAGTTTGACTTCTTTAAATGAGCATTTGAGTCCTAACAGGGACACAAAAAGTACGCACTGTTGACGAGTCCCAAACAAAACGAAACAGCTGTCCAGCGCTCTTTGTCAGTTATCATAAACATTTCTATCGCATTTGTAAGCATTATCATTATTTAAGAATTCGAAATGTATCGATCAACACGGAACCGTTGATGAAAGACACTACCACACCAGGACAAATATAATCCTGTCCACCATCAAAACTGCACCAAATAGATTGGGGATTTTCAACTCACGTATTAGGCTATGGAAGCAAGTGTGGTCGGAACTGCCTGCTGGCAAGTTGTACTTGGCATTTAGTATGGCTAATTTGGCCGACTCTTCAAACGGATGGAACGTGCAGGTGAGATAGAACAAAATACAGCCCAGTGCCTGGAAGAGGAAATCACAGATACAAAGACATTCAGATAAAAACAAGGGGAACATGAAACAGATAATATTAACAATTATCATCATCACCATCATCATCAATGGAGGCTGTCTTCCTGTGACATTTAGAAGTTCCACATCGTTCAAACGTAACAGTTTCTGGAGAAAATCCATTAACTATACAGCTTCGGTACAAATGAACTTTGTATTTTCTTACCAACAAATCGCACCGAATGATCATTATTTCACAAAATCGGATGGGTAACATATAAAAATTATGTGAACGCCGGATCTTATGGTAAACGAACCACAGTTAATCTCTTGCCGTATGCATCAAGTACATCGTACTCGAATATCTTTTTTGATTACTAATATGAATAACAGTTAGACAGAAGACTACGCTATAAAAAAATCTACTGGGAAACTTTGTCAAGGCAAACAGCAAAATATGGCGAAATAACTACTCTGGTTTGCTACCGTAAAAGGCGATATGAAAATACCTTTGTAGACTAATATGGATGTTCACCTCAATTAGAGGTTCACAGGGTCGAGAAATAAAGAACACTATGCAACATTGAATACGTATTCAGTGGGCCTGGTAGGAAAGAGGTTGGGGTAAATCATGAACTGGAAAAATTTTGACAAATCGCAAACATTTCAAAAAGCTCGAGCGGTGGCATCCACAATGCAATACGGTATTATGAAGGTTCCAGCCGCCGAATGCTTCAGGTATGGTCGGGGGTGGATATCTCNATCTCCGGTTGTGATTAGTCACTCTTCCCTTGCACCTCGCGAGATGCTCCCATACGGCCGAGCGTCTCAAACAGCTTCTGCTGAGGAAGCCCTACTCACTACCTGCTCGTGGCGGAGGTGTTTCCCCACTTAAGTGAGAGGACAAAAAGCCAACATCCGGGGTTATAACCAGTCCGTGAAGCAATGGTTGTTCACTTAAGGTAGTTGGCTAAAATTCCTGATTCCAAACGAACTGAGAAGAGGCATACGAACCACGCACATACCTTCCTGGTCGTGGTAGTGGTTACCGGTTTGAGTTGTAGTGGGCCCCTTGGACATTGACCCCATACGAAGGGCGTATGATCCGATGAACTGGACACCAGATCCCAATGGAGTGCGGTTTTCTCACACCACCCCGCTGCCTTGTGGGTCATGCTTCGGCTAGCCGAAGGCTACGGTTGCGAACTCACAAAGAAAATTCACCTTCCTTGGCTTGAGCGACCTGGCAGTATTCCACCCACAAGCAAATCATAGAACGTTTTTCTTTTTAATAAATATTATTGTACCTTGATTTCTTTAGGACACAGTCTGAACTCAGATGTGTGTGAAATACATGAAGGTACGGCGGATACAGCAAAAGGGTACCATCAAGACCAAAAAAGAGAATGCAACCAAATGGATAACCGATCAATAAACGAGAAGCAAACGTGTTTGAAGGTGGGGAACGCCGCAGTGAACCTTGCTGGGTCGTATTCAACCCTCACATATCACCGTCTGCACACAGTTGAGTAAGCAATCTTAATTATATAACCCTGTAGGTGCATTTCGAGACCTTATATGAAATCACCGTCAATTCACATTTCGCCAGTGTACTTAGTGTCTGCAAATGGCAACCGGAGCACTTAAGTGTAAAACCCAACTGATGATATAAATTTTGAACAGATGACAGGACACAACATGACATATTGTTTGGCTGAATTGCTAGTACAAAAAAAAATGGAAATCAATGGAGATGCACATACCCACACATCCGAAGGAGGACCAATTGGGTAGTTTTGGTACAGATCCAACATTTCTGGGGCACGATACATCGGTGTAGTAAACTTTTCCAACTATTTAAAGGACGAAAATAGCGATAAATGGTATTGCAATTTTCAAGATGATGCATTTCAATTTCGGACAACCGTGTATCACTTTTGAAACATGAGCCAATTTATCTTATTTAAAATTGCACATTTGATTCAGAAACACTGGAAGTCTTACTGGGCCAGTTATTTTACAAGCCAATAAAGGCTACCAGTTCAGTTCAATTTGTACAGCCACTAACCATGTACTTTTGTGCACCGGGTTGGGTTGCTGCCTTTTGGCTACCTATTGCGATGAGCAGTAGGAGAAAGACAGAAAAGTAAGAGCAACGTATAAAAGTAATGCTGTATCACACTCAGTCAATTGTGACAGTTCATGAAAAGCTACCAACGAAGCCCAAATGAACTGTTTGTCTTCAACCAACATTCATGGAGATCAAGAACGCAGCCTAGGGGAATGCTTCTTCACGACCAAGCATTTTATTAGTCCCTGCTGTTATTGCATTCGCACCATACTTGTTCGCAAACTGGTGATCACGGGTCTGTTCACACATCCTTCTGAATCGTTCGTGTTTATGGTGGGGAAAGCGATATGGCTGCGTGTCGCAAACAGTAGCGCTCATACATCTACTTATTATTTGTGTAACATCAGTCTATATGAATTTTCTATCTTCCGCTTGAATTGTTTTCAACACTCTAATCTTCATTCTGCTCTTTCAACTAAATGGGCGACCAAAAGACAGCAACTAAAACCGGCGCACGAAAATGCATGGTTAATGGTTATAAAAACTAAAACTAAAAACCAGAACCAGGAGCGTGTGAAATATAACGATTCAAAACGAGCTGCTGGGAGCCATTATTGTGGGTTCCCTAAACGGAAGATTTACATGCAATAAATTAGTATCAGTGTTCAGAGAAACGAAAATATCCTTGTTCATATTCAGGGCGATTTCTTGAGAATTAGCTGGTGCTTTTACGTAGAAAAAATACAAATCCCACTTGATCAAGTTGATTACCTCTTCTTGTACTGTGCCTCGTTTTAGAGCACTCCATGAAGCGTCCGGATTGTATGTCACTGTGCTCGCACTGCCAAAATCGCACAACTTGATGACGAATTTTTCTGATATCAAAAGATTCTCTATCTTTAAATCGCGGTGCATGATTGGCGGATTCTGACTGTGCATGTGTTGAACCGCGCGACAAGTTTGGTGCATTATTTGGATGATTGCGTTTGGTGGCAGAGGACGATCTTGATGCGGTACAGGTAAGTAATCAGATAGTTGGCCACCTAAATACAACAGCAAATGAACAGACATATTCGTGTAGACATAACATCTAACTCGTAAAAATATCATCCTACAAATGCAATCAGAAACCATCAGTTTTAAATCCGATGCCGCTGATCTCGTCTCTTCAATATTACGGGTGGAAGATGAAAAGTAACACAGGATGTTGCACACCATCTGAGGTATACACTAAGAAAACGATCGCTAAGCTCGACAAACACGCCATACTCCGTTTCGGATTGAGCATGTAGTGCACATGAAATTTGACCTAACGTGGTCTAGGCGTCCAAAGGTAAGTTCATACTCAGTTTTGTCTTAAAAAGCTAATCTCTGGATCACTTGGATCCATATTTCTGATCACCGGTCTGAGTCTCGGATACTTACATGTTGTGGTATCAAAGGGCAATTGGACGATAGTGGAATTGACATCAGAAGCTAAAATACTATGATTGTTGAGAACACAACCAGTTGACATCATTAGGTCACTGAAGTACAGAAGGGGTGATAAGTCTCGACTATGGCTATCACGGGTAGGCGGAATGGTCAGACTATCCCTTGAAACTTTAGGCTCAACGGACTATTAACAGACTATACTGTTGATGATACTTCCCATATATCCTAGTTTCCAAACTGTCTGGAAGCGTTGTCATCGGAAACTGTAGGATTTTTAGGTGATGAGTTATTTTGCATTTATACTGATACTTTATATGCTCAAGGTGAAGAAACTGTGAGAATGGCGAGCCTCGGTATGTCGATCAGTGAATAGGGAGCAGCTGACACTATGCTTTTGCTTCCTAATAAAAATGGTTTAGCAAGCCACTGGAATCACATCACCATGACACAACAGCGATAAGGTGAAATGTGTGCAATTGGTAGGGGTCGTTACACTCACGACAGGAAACACATGGAACAGAACTCAGTCGCGTTGAATAAACACAAGGCTTCTGTAGTTTGCTTTTCTGCCAGCATTGGTTGAAGCATTCGCTCGGCGACATTCAACATTCAGAAATATTATTAAAATGATAATATAAAACATTTAAAATAAAACCTTCAGAAAAATCAAAATTATTTCCTTGCTGGATTGCTTCGAATGAATCAGATCATGAAGTGGTAGCAAACTTGTACTTACCCCGACAGAATTCTGTAGCTATGAGAAACTCTGTGCCCACTACTTTTTGCTTATCTCTCCCTATAGTAGCGGCACCGACAAACTCCATGATATTTGGATGTCCACTTAATTGTTTCTATACACGATTCAGAATGAAGAGAAGAATCCAGAAGACATACCAAGAAGCTTATCTCACGCAATATCAGATCCGTCGTACTTTTGTCGTGGGACAGCATCCGCTAAATTAAATTGAAAATTTTCATCATATTATTTTTACTTTCAGCGCATAGGCACAGCCCTTCGCAGTATCCTGAGCCTCAAAAACAACACCATATCCGCCTACGGATAACTATAGTTAGATCAACCAACAAACCTTCCGCAATAACTCGTTTGATCCGCAAAGAGTAAGATCCGACATGAACTGTACTTCCAATAAGTTCATTCTCGTTTTTCACCAGTGGTGAACTGGTCAGATAATTAAATGCGGACTTCAGGTAATCAGCCATCGCGGCAGTAACGCATATCTGTAATGTTGGCGCCCTCAAGGTCAAAAAGCACGTCACATTTCAGGTCAGGTCTTGAAGTCTTGAAGTCTTGAAGTGATTCACGGGTTCGAGGCTGTTGCCCAAATGTCCCGGGTCCTTGAAAGGTATCTGTGTTTTCTTTTGGTTTGAATTACCACTGGAACAGAGAGTACTGAAAAGGGATTAGTAGGGTTCCCCGCTCGAGGCGAGAAATAAAATGAAGACTTGCGAACTCTTATATAATTCAAAAAAAAATTTTTTTTTCTTTTTATTGGGGAAGAGTAGATAAACCTAAGTGGCGGTCAAGACGAAGTTTAAAGACCGCCTTGCTGGGGGCGCTGACTATCTCTTCTGGAAGGTCATTCCATAAGGATATCACCCGGAAGGTAAAAAATGAAGTACGCAGAGTGGTTCTCGGACGGGGCTTGAAGATTTTTTTGCTGTGCCCTCGGGTAGGCTGAGAGTCAGCAATGACAAAAAAGGTTTCGACAGTGCCCGTGTCGAAGAGATGGTAGAGGAGAAATAGGTCTCCTCGGATCCGTCTGATTTCTAGAGGATAAAGGCCCAGTTGTTGGAGCCGCGTTGGGTAGGGGAGGTCCCTGAGTCCGAGGACGGATTTTGTAGCGGCTCTCTGGACGCGCTCAAGACAGTCACGATCTCGGATGAGGCCAGAGTGTGCAACTTGGCTTCCATATTCTAAGAGAGGGCGGATGTAAGTTCCGTAAATAAGAGGGAAGTCGTCCTTAAGAATACGGGGGAAACATCTTTTGATGAGATTAAGGACTCGAAAAGCGGTCTTACTGGCTAAATGGTTATGATAAGAGAAAGATAGATTGTTATTTAACCAGAAACCAAGAACCTTGTATTGGTCCACTTGGGGTAGTAGGTGGGTACCTTCTATCGTAAAAGGGTGAGAAGGGTGACCATTGAACGACATCCCAACACACTTGTCATTGTTGATTGGAAGATTCCAATCCAGTGACCAGCGTTTGGTGGCATCAATTGAAGCCTGTAAAAGAGAGGCGTCTGTATCCCAGATGGTGACATCATCGGCGTACAGCGCAATCCTTGATGACACTACATCGGGTAGGTCATTAATATAAATGAGGAAGAGAATGGGTCCTAGAACAGAACCTTGGGGAACACCGGTCGTAATTGGGCTGGGCTGGGATGAAGATTTGCCAACCCGAACAGCAAACGAGCGATTTGAGAGGAAGCTTCGAATAAGAGTAAGCAAGGGATCGACAATGCCTAGTGCCGCAAGTTTGTGGAAAAGAGAGATGTGTAGAAACGATACGCTCAGATTGCGAGAACCTGGACTCAAATTGGCATCAATCGCAAGACCTACGACCCGACCTGATCTGACCCGTTCCCCTTCCTGAACAGATTTGTTTATTTGCGCTATCTTCTATTTGTTATGCCTTCAGATGTTAACCGCGTCAACCAAATGAGTTTTTTGCGTTAGAAAATTGTGGATTTTGTTGTTCTACTATGGCATCCGCTAGTCGGAGTCAAAAGAGTTCAGCGACAGGGCCGTTTGAAGTGAGCGTTTACTGCACTTTGATTTCAATTCCCAGAGTCTTTCTGAAGTGTTCAGGTGCTTTATATGTATGGAGAAGTTGCACAATGCACGTCTTTGCCCACATTGTTCAAAACTTTGCTGTTATCAATGCATTAGAGTAAGTTAGTCTACCCTTCATCCATAAAAAAAAAACAGAAATGGATCACAGAGACAAGATCACAGTGTCCACATTGTCGGTAAGCTCTGCAGAGCACATGTGCTTTCTTTTCCGTAACTGCAGCTCGTGTTGGTTATAGTTATTTGGCGAGTTGTATTTCCTTTGTTCTTGATAGGAATTTCCTCCATAATTGTTTATTTCTAACCAATAGTGGCTTTTTTCGTTGTTGAAAAGATTATGATATATGATAGGAATTTTTTTTCTCGAAGAATAAAGTTGCACATGATGCACCAGTTTCCACAATCGCCGAGTCTATGGAAACTCGCGCATTGCATTATGAGTCGCGTTTCCCGTACTATTTGTATTTAATATTAGCGAATCAATGCATTTTTCATGATTATGTTACGATATATGGTTTCTAGATGCGGACCTGCAGACCAGCTCAGTTCCGTTCAGTTTGCACTAAATGAATATGGCTCTAGCCAATCAAGCGTCCAGTTCGTTCTGTTTTCGGCCAATGAGAGTAGCTTCCAAAACTGCGTACAGTTGATTGATACCTGTAATCCTCTCCATTTAGCCCCGTTTCCAGAGCGTTGTCTCCTTTGGGGTATGCGGAAAGGGAGGAAAACAAGCAAGGATATCTCGCCTCATTGGTCAGAGACCTCAAGTACACATGCGTTCGTATACACAGATCACATTTGGCAGGATAGTCAGTTTCAGAACAGTTCGAACAATCAAGCCCGAGATTCCTTCATTTCACAAAATTTCGGCTAAAGTGGAATTTATTGATGTTCTGACGCTATATACTGAGTACTTACTTCGGGGAACGTTGCCGACCAACTTTCGTCCAGGGTCACCTTGACGGCGTTATCACTGGTGCAGTTGACCACTTCTGTGGGTTCAGTTCAGTTCAGTTGAGTTCTTACAACCAATAAGCATGCACTTTCGTGCGCCGGTTCTGGTTGCCCAATCGGATAAAATAGAATGATCATTAGAATGTTGAGAACAGATTTTAGCCGAAGGTAGAACATTTTCATAGACAAGATGTATAAGCGCAACTGTTTGCGACACCCATATCGCTGTCTAACCACCGGTGACTATGATCTCTGGGTCCCCAACCAGAGAGCCTAACGGGTAACCTGTTCCACACAGGTATGACGCTGTGTGCGAAGAAGGTGGCCCTTACTTCCAACCTGGCGTGGTTTTGTTGAAGTTTATAGCCATGACCTCGTGTTTTGAGTACGAGAAATCGTAAACACGTCATCTAGGTTGAGTCCTGATAGACCTATTACAATTTTAAAAGTTTATCAGATCTCCCCTCACTCGTCTACGCCCCGGCGAAAAGAGATTAAGATCTCTTAACCGCTGCTCACAACTTTTCCTCATTTGCCCAGTCCCCATTCGGGTAGCTAGGCGTTGCCCTCTTTCTGAACAGGACTTGCTGCTAAAGTCTGCTTAGGTTATTTGCTTGTTAGGTCAGGTCACAGGACTAGAGGCTGATGCCAAACGAGCGTCCAGTTTCTTGCGCAGTCGAACTCCAATGTTTTTGATGCGCTTCGGCAGCTTTTGGGATTCTTTCTGTTCGACAAATGCTAACGGAATGTGTACTACATTTTGACTTCCTTGAGTTCCACAGAGAGTGGGGTGGGTCGATTTTCCCAATATTCAAAGGCTTTGTTGGAAATCGAAGTTTACAAATTACCTGAACCTTCACTTAGTAGCACAATGTCGTCTGCATACTCTAGATCAGACAGCCTGCCAGCTGGGAGTAAATCGATGCCACTTTCCTCGCACGAGGATAGGGCTGTTTCCATAATCAAATCTATAACAAAGTTGAATAGAAAAGAAGAGAGAGGGCAACCCTGACGAACACCACTTTCCGTAGTGAACTCAGGCGAAAACTTGCCGTAAGCCCGGACTTGACTTCGGCTTTTAGTATAAAGTGATTGGGCACACCGTTCAGGGAGAGGCAGCGCCAGAGTTTAGAGTGGTCGACTGAGTCAAAAGCCGCTTTCATATCTAAGAAGACAGAGATAGTGGGTCTACGAAAGGAATTTGACGGAGAGTGAAGATGTGGTCAACTTCGATCGGTTCTGAAATCAGCCTGGTTCTCACGCGTGCACCTTTTGCGTGCGGCAGACAATCGACAGAGTATGATACCGGCGAGAAGTTTAGAGACAATGTCAATTTAACTAATTCCTATGTGGTTTTCACAGGCGGGCCTGTCGCTTTTCTTGTAAATCGGTATGATTATCGATTCACACCATTCAGTTGGGATTATCAAGGCAAAATTAATCACGGCGTGATCCGCGGTCGCTATGCGCTAATTTGTCGCAGACTGTAGCGCAAAATAACATCCAAAGGTAATCGAAAACTGTTCAGTTACTGGAAACATCTTATAAGTGTAAATATATAACCTTTTCAGTACAGGAAGCGTGAGCTACGGAACTTACCTGGGGCACAACTGTGCTTGCTTCCACTGCATTAGAGTTGACAAGGTTCATTAAATCGGTATTCCTTGTTGCTGTCTTCATTAGCCTAATCACTTAAAAATTTATCACAAAACCGCCATTAGTTTTAAATTCTCATTCTTCTCTTACATTCCATTGAATGACACAATTGATTATGGATAATTCTAATTGACTCACATTAGTACTTAGTATTAATTTTACTACTAATATCTGCTACCTTAAGTTTAGTTAGTTATTGCTATGGTTGATTGCTTCATATAAGCAGCCAGACAATATTATGCTTGGGTTAAATTTATACTGCTCATGTTTGTCACACTCTAGGGCTTCGCTGCACATCTATGAACTCATCAACTGTCGTTGGGCCGATGAAGTGACAGAACAACTAGACAATTTGCAGTCTCAAGCCGTATCGCAGCGACAAAACGGGCGAAGCGACTCGACTTCGGGTTCTGTTGGCGATAAGTGAGTGGTTCAAATATCCTCTTATTTATTGATTTCAGTTCCTTCCTAAATGATGTATGATGTGATGTATTTATGATGTATGTATGTGATGTACGAATCA